AAAACTGGTCAATTAGCAAGAACTCATTTAAAATTAAGTCCTTTCTAAAATTTTCTCTTATACGTTTAAAGATATATTTTTTTCATTAATGTTGATGTAAAAATTTATAATCTTGCACCAAAAGGAACTTAGAAAACTTACCTAACCTTATTATAACAAGCGCAATTTATTTTAGCCTAACCCAACTAAATATATTTTAGATTTGTTTACAATAATTTAATACTAAACAAACACAGTGAAATATATTTTTTTCGTTAAGTTCAGAATGATTTTGGCGAAATTATTGCATGCACAAATTTTCACTTGTCCTATATGGCAAGATGAGCGTTGCTATTTAAGCCAAGATCGCAAGTTCTGCCTATTCGGCACGACATATATATATATATATATATATATATATATATATATATATATATATATATATATATAATATATATATATATATATATATATTATATATATATATATATATATATATATATATATATATATATATATATATATATATATATATATTATATTATATATATATTTCATTTTTTTAAAGATTGGGGTCCACCTCTGGTGTAAATTGTGGGACCCATAGCCTCGGAGAAGTGGATAAAAAGGCTTCAAGGAAGAATATTTGGATTTCTTCCTGAAGCCGTTTAAATATTCCACTTCCCCTACCACCCCATCTTTTCATTCTTTTTTTGCAAATAGGAATATTTTATTACATAATATGGTACAGAAGATTTAAGAGATACATTGTTGATATAAAGGTGGCATATACAGTACATGTTGTTACGTGTGTATCACCGATTATAATGCGAAAATCTCATCCAGCTCCTCAGAACTGGGGCGCGTGCCCAAAATACAACAGGCATTACCCCTTTGAACAGCCGCACTGAGCCGCTGGAACAGAAAACTAGCTGCCCTGGGATCCCTAGTTACCCTGATGAGTCTTTTCCCCAGCTCGTTAAGGAATTTAGATGCACTCTTTCCCCATGAGCCAAGGGTCTCTGAGCCTATGGGAACGAACATATAATGATGGGCAAGTTCTCCATATTTTCTAAACTTTTGGGACTCCCTGAAGCTGGCAGCTACCCCTCCTTCCTCCCTGGTGTATTGGAGATAGGAATCAGCCAAGGTAGATGCACATGTATAGTCCCAAACCACCTGCTTCCCATCTGTCCAGGCTTGAAGGGTGATACCATCTGGATGCTTCTGGCTGCCATCAGATCTGCATAGCTGAGGTGGCTCCTTTACTGCTGGGCATCCAGCTGTTGTGAGGCTCCTCTTGATAATATTATTAACCTCCTCATGTCTTGCAATCTTTCCCTCGGATTTACGGCACACAAGACCATGGTACCCGAATCGGTCTGGTGCTTCACTGCCACAAATACATCTGTGTTCGGCGAGAATAGGGGCGGCAAGTCGAAAGGCAACACCAATGAGGATGGTCTGTGGGTCGAGGCGTGTGCCAAGGCTGGAGTTGGGAACAGCCAACTGAAAGTCCACTCCTCTTCAAGGGGGGCTCCTTGGCGCGGTGAAGAGGCTCTTGGTCTGAGGAATTAGACCTGTCAGTCTCCTTCCTCAGACCGAACCTAATTACCCCCCAATCCCCCCTTCCATATCCCATCCTCCCCTTTTTTCTTTCCTCCTCCCCACCCCTCCCTTTTGCCCTTCCTCTTTTTGGCCTTTGGGATTTTTCCCACAGGCACACTAGTTCATAGGTAGGGGGAAGGGTACCGGGGTCCATCCCATTCTGTTGAGGTTCTTGGCAGTGGCGTAGTTTGCCGTGGGATCTGGATCGCCTGGGGATGTCCCGATCCCTCTCCGGTATCCCAGAGGGTGGCTTTGGATGTCTTTCGGGCGACGGGTGTATCTCTGGAAGCCACCTTTCGGATTCCGGGGGTGGTGGCTGAAGGAGGTATGCTTTGTGGCGGATATCCGGCCGCCCTCTCTTTTGTCCACCAAGGTAGCTCGGCAGATATGAGGTTGCTATCTCGGATTGCTGGTTTACTGGCATGAAGGGTAGGGTATGGCACGGGTTCCATGCTGCATCTGTGCTACTTGCGGTGCTGAGGTCCATTTGGGAGCAGAGGGAGATTTCTGGCCCTTTCATTCCTCCTAGGAACTATCCCTCCTCGGTCTTCCCTTTTTTTATTCTTTTTTTTATTTTTATTTTCTTCTTTTTTTCTTAAAAACAAAAAGAAAGAAGTAACCTAACCATGGAGTCCCAAATCCATGACCCCGCTACCCCCGGGCCCCTTATTGTTACCGCACCCTGCTCTGACCTCACCTCGTCTTTTGGCCACTCTTTGGACACTCCTAAGGCCCCTGTACCTCTTGCTGGTGCTGTTTCCTCATCTGCTTCAGGTACCGGGGCTTCCACTGACTCTTTCGATTTGTCTGACCTCCGCTCTCCTTTGACTATGCTTCCGGCCTCTCCCTCTATGGTGCGACGATTTTCGAATCGCCAGCCCGTCTCACGATGGACCGACTCTGGTCCCACTTCTAAACGCCAACGACAATCTCCAGACGATGTTACTTCGTTACCTTCCCATTCTACTCGGAAAAGACCGACACGTCATGTACTCCCTCTCCACACTCAGTTTCGGACCACACAATGGACTAAATTCTTTACTTTATGACCTACGCCACGTTGGTAGAGATATTTCCTTTCATGCTCTTATGAGTGGTACGTGCATCATCACAGTCCAGAATTCTACCCAAGCTCATGATCTTTCTCTTCTTTCACATATCGATACTATTCCTATCACTATCGAAAAACATCATTCCCTCAATTCTTGTAGTGGTACTGTTATTCTGCCCCATACCATAGTCCAACAGAATTTCCAGACATGTGGCAATGACATTCTCTAACAGCTGGAACTCCAGGATCTCCCAATTCTCAAGGTAGACACTGATGTTCTTCCTGCCCACGGGTGAAGACGATACCCTTGCAATGTGGCTCCTTTAACTTTTGACAGCCGTGAACTCCCATCCTCTTGTTTATGTAGCAGGACATCGGTTACAAGTTCGGAAGGTGATCCCTACACCGCAACAGTGTAGGAATTGCTGGCGATTTGGCCACCCAGCAAAATATTGCAGATCTATAGCCGAATGCCCAGTCTGTGATGCCGATGACCATTCTAATACATCTTGCAGTCGACCTCCCTCTTGCCTTAATTGTCATGAGGCTCACCCTTCGTACTCTCGTCGTTGCCAGGTCTACTTAAATGAGCGGGAAATTCGTTGCCTCAAAGAGGCAGGAGGTCTCCCTTATGCTATGGAAGTTTCTCATCTCCGCCTCCAAGGGAGACTACCCCGTGTTTCTTATTCTCGTGTTTCAAAACGTCCCCCCACTTCTGGGGTCCCATCTTCTGCAGCCTCCTCTGCGCTTGCCAGTCCCATAGTCAGTCCTGTATCTAATTCTTTTGCTGTCCTGGGCTCAGACGTCTCTACTTCAACACCTCGGTCTGTCCTCACTTCTTGTGTTCTCCCTCACAAACCACGGTATCGACAAGACCTCGTACGACACCTCCCAATCGTCCCTCTACTTCTCAGAGATCCAACAAATCTCCTTTAACCCCTCCTTCCCTTCATCCACCTCCACATTTTCCCTTCCCGGTCTCTGCACCTAGGTCTTCCCCTTTCACTGTCTACGTTACAAGTGTGGAGGTTCATCCTCCTCCTCGTACTGTATTTTATATATATATATATATATATATTATATATATATATATATATATATATATATATATATATATATATATATATTATATATATATATATATGTATATAATACTATTTATATACGTATTTCCAACTTTTAGTGGACGACCGACTAAAAATTTCCTACCTTCTCTAATGACTGATTTTTCTTTTTCTCTATCTAATACCTAATTCACCCTGAGGCTAAAGCAACACTTAACAAGATTATTTTTCCTATTAATGTGAGGTTCATCACACAGCACGAATTGAAAACAATCTTCGTCTTCCCTGAGGGTAAGATTGTTCTTTTGTAAAAATTAATTAGTAGCTCGGAAATGTGAAGGATTCTTGTTCCGACACACTTTTTTTTTTTTTTGCTCTCGTTCTGTAGACTACGATAATCATCAACCATTTCTCTCAGTTTTTTGTTTGTTACCCGTCTTTCCACTCTTATATCTCATAGTAATAATGTAGTTTCATTTTTCTCATGCAGTTGAATAGTAATAATACTGTATTTATTGTATTAATGATGTCGTATAAACCTTGGTAATAGATACCAACAAATTGGTTTAGAAAAACACGTGAACAAACACTAGGCCATATTTGTTAGAAAACATTTCGGTCTTGGGCACGTCTCACTCACTTATCACATCATTATTTCTCTCACCTCCTCTATATTGAGAGGGAAGTGGGGGGGGGGGGAATACTAGCCACCACACAGGAAAATAAAAAGTTCCTGGGAGGAATATAAAGTGTACCATCTGGGGAGACGCTCCTGCAGCCTAGCAAGCTTGACTCTTTGTTAATGTTACCGACATTCCTTTGTATTGTCAGGTGTTGCGATTTGTGAATCGTATTATATATTACACCATGAATGTTATGGGACACTAAATAATGTTTACTTTAAATGTTTAGGGTGTTACGTATACTTGATGATATCTGGGTGAATTGAGTCCTGACAGACCATTGTGTTGTTTTTAGTAATTGAATAAATACTAACTAAATTAAATCTCTGTGTTTGAAAGTTGATTTATTTTGACACAAACGAAAATAGTATAGAGATTCTGGTCCAAAGTGGCAGGGAAAGAATATCTTTACTATTAAAGTATTTGAGGAGTAGCATGACCTCTAGGATGCTGTGAGTGACATGACCTCCAGGATGTTGTGAGTAGCATGACCTCCAGGATGTTGTGAGTAGCATGACCTCCAGGATGTTGTGAGCAGCATGACCTCCAGGATGTTGAGTAGCATGACCTCCAGGATATTGAGTGACATAATATCCTGGATAATTAAACACTGAAGCCATTCTACTGCATTTTTTCCAATTACAAAGTCATTTTCAAAACATGTTTCAGTATTATATATTTAAACATTTATTTTACTTTCATTAGTAAGCAGGATTTTCTTAGGCTTACTGTCTTACCTCAGTATCCACCAACACTCAGACCTGCCAACTCTCTCAACTCAACAAAGAGCTGGCTTTATCACACACCCATGTGAAGACATCACAGTTCAGTGTAGAAGTGAACTCAAGCCTCAGCCTTGCAATGTTCCTCCTGCATCCTCCTTACCCTCTTCGCTTTCTTACGGGTACCAGGAGGAGAGACAGAGTCAAAATGGTAGATTTACACGTACAACAGGATATTACTGCCTTAAATGTACGCCTTGATACGCTGAAGAAGAGACAACTCTATGCAATGCAAGAACTCTACATGCCAGATAGAGAACATCCTCTCCAAGTTGAAAATACCACTGACTATATCATTAATACTCCTCCTCACAGGACCCAAAGAATGACTCTCCCACAGAGGCTGCGTCGCTTCATCCATAAAGAGGATTACCATCGACCAATGATCTTGAGCAACCTTCCTGCAGATGAAGACGATTGGGTAACACCAGAACCCTTCTATGTCTACTAAGAAAATTATCGCCCCTAATTAGGGAGACATCTTGTATAACAATATACTGATATAAACTCGCTACATTTACTATGGCGGGACACCACCTTGAAAGAAGCTAACATGTCAAGTAATTCTTCATGAGTTCTGTAGACAATTACCGCCTTGCCTTGCCGTTTAAATATTCGTTATGCAATCGCTAAAAAAAAAAAAATTGCAACTTGTATATCTACTACCAATAATTCAGAGTCATGTACCTATATATCTGTTATATCTATGTGACTCTGATGGGTTAGTATTATACCCCTTCAAGAATTTTCTATTATTGCACATACACTTTTTAAATTGCACCAAAGTGGTTGTGTCACTTCCCTTTTATATCCTACCTCACTCCCCCCTCCCACCCTTTTCCAATAATTCTATCCTTACCCATCCTTCTTCCTTACCCATCTTACCAAAGACTCGGGTCATGAGAAGCGAAGCGAAGCCTCCTCACCCACGCCACACAACACTTGTGAAGTCCTTTTCTTCCCGTTACTGCAGTTGTTACCATTTAAATTGCCCTTTCACAAGAGGGCGACTATAATTACAAAAATGATATACCAACTGCATGAGAAAATGCAATTATTTATTACACTAATAATGAAATTATAAGGAATATGTTATTACTCTTATAAGATACGACTTAGAAATATAATTATTTTGAGGGAATAATATAATAATACTTAGGAGAATGCACTGGTCTAATACATAGTTAAAAGAATTTGAGAATACACAATAATACGAAAATGGTTACTTACAGTTAAGTAATCTACTAGATTTCGCTTATAAACCTTCACTTCATCGTGAAAAGGTTCACTGACAGCCGTCGTGCTGTAGTGTCACCGTCAGTCAGGTCATAACCTCTTCTGATTCCCTGTCTCGGTTTTCAGTGCCTCCTTCCCTTCTCCACATAATGTAGGAACAATACACTCCCTTAACTCAGAAGCTCTTAAAAGCTAAGTGAAAAACAGCCAGTGTTGACTTGCAACATTACACGGTGGATGTACACTAAGACATTATTGACTAGTTTGCCTTAGGTCTGTAATACTGACAAGCGAAAAGATGTTGCTCATCGCAGGAAATATCGTTAAATACTGGGTGACGAGTATTGTACAGGTTAACACAGAATTCTCTTCCGTGGCTGTTGTTGGGTTCGCCTGGTGACCAGTCGCTGGTGGCGATGACTCTCCCGTCCAGCCACTTAAACTGACGGTTTTTACTCTCGTCTTCGCCGCCCACGAACACTGTCTTATCATCGCCAATTCCTGTGTTCCGAGAAAAAGTGGGATTCATTATTGGGAATCTAAGATTGCAAATATTCGTGAGGCTGTATACTGGAGAAAGTGCAGAGGTTTACAAGAAGACTAGTTCCTCAGCTTAGCAAAATGAACCATAGAGGCTAAAGAAAATGAATTAGACATATACAAAATATAGGAACCAAGGGAGCCATAATAACGACATGCAAAATTCTCGAGCAGTTGATTGACGCGAAAAGGTTACAGTAGGTACATTTGGAGGGTAAGATACAATAAAATAAGATTTGTTCGTATTTTTAACCCGGAGGTCTAACTATCCAGGATAACCCAAGATAGAGTTAGTGCGTCATCGAGGACTGTCTGCCTTATTTCTATTGGAGTCCTTCAGTCTTGTCCCCCATTATGCGACCCACACCAGCTGACTAATATCCAGGTACCTACTTTCTGCTAGGTGAACAGGACAGCAGGTATATGGAAACATGCCCAATGTTTCCACCCATGCCGGGGATTGAACCACGGACACTCAATGTGTCAGACAAGATCATTGCCAACCTGTATGATGAATAAGTAGAGGCAGGCTCCACACACAGCCTTAAGAATATCTATGACAAGGCCTACAAGCAGTGGTGGATTTACATTTTTGGGGCCCTAAAGTTTGAGCTGTTACGGGGCCCATTGGCAACCAGCAATGAGGTTATCTTCTTCAGTGGGGGTCCAAGACGGATTACCACAAATATTTAAAAAATGAATGACACATCCTTAATTTGAATGTTTTTTCATTTACAGTTAGCCTACATGATACTTTAATAACCTTTTAATTTATATTTTAACTATTATTTTGCATTGAATTACACTATATTGTTATTATTTTTTAAACCCCCCATCTCATATAGTAGACTCAAAAATTTTAAGCAATGTAGACTAAAGTCATTTCTGGGGCCCCTTAGAGATTAGGGACCCTGAAGCTTAAATTAGGATCTGAGACTCAAACCTTGTAAGAACAGAGTAGGATTAAGACAGCGTGGAGGAAATAAAGCAGGAGAGAAAATGTTAAGTAAATTGTATCTTCCTTGACTAAGAAAGTGCTGCGAAAGAAGGCTTTGAATAAACACAAAATATGAGCAGGAAGGAGTAACAAATTAGTCGGGTGGTAAGAGGGATACTTTGAGAATATAAAACTGAGGGGCAATGATGAGAAAGAAATGAGAATATATAACTGAGGGCAATGATGAGATAGTATTGGAATTAGCATGGCTGACAAATGAATTCCCACGAGAGAGAGAGAGAGCGAGAGCGAGAGAGAGAGAGAGAGAGAGAGAGAAAGAGAGAGAGAGAGAGAGAGAGAGAGAGAGGAGAGAGAGAGAGAGAGAGAGAGAGAGGGTAAACCCCACATTTATCAGTACAGAAATAATCCGAGTGTGTGTGTTTTCTGAGCCTTGTGATGAGAATGGGAACAATTGTAGTCAGCAGGTTATACTAACTCTTTAAACCAACTACATCTTCACAGGGGCGACTCAAGTCCCGAGTTGGAAATAATCAGCAACATTATTCTGGCGAGGTTATTTGTTGACCTCCGCGTGTGTGCCTGTTCTTGTATATACCGAATTACATTTCCTAGGACTGAAAACCGCATCAGTTACAAAGAATTTTACCGATGTCTTTCAGCAAATTTCTAGATTTATGTTATTTAACTTCATTTAAGTTAGGTTAGATTGTTCTCTAGCAATCAAGTTTAACCAATTAAAACATAGCTGAATGCAAACATAAAATATTATACAGGCGATAAAAAAATGACACGCGAGCGAATTAAAAAAAAACGGGACTTAACAGCGCACAAGAAAGTACGTTATTATTACATAGATAACCATTGTTTACGGCTCGTGAACAGTCACCCACTTGACTGTCTTAGCAACAGTAAAATTCTGAAGGTTATTAAGAGGCTGGACTGGCATGTTAGGTTAGTTGGAAGAAACTTTTCCAAACAAAGATATGTGTGTTAATGTTGCAATAAAAGTGTAATGAACACCTTTTAATAAGAAACATTAACCCACATGTAAAAGAAAATAAAGATCATTGTGTATTTCGACTTTCAATTGAGGTCATCAGCAGACACAAAGAAAAGAGAAAATCGTCATTATCTAGGATGCAGAGAAGGTCCTGTTATCTTAAAGGTGTCATCAGTGAAGTGTCAGGTCACCTGCAATGGGCTGAACATGAAGGGTATAGAACAAATATTTAATGCATAGCAAATAGGAATCCGATAATACAAACCTATTGAGCTTATAATGAAAGACTTGAGAGCATAGGGGTGTTTGGGTGAAGCTAAGTCTCCCAACATTCCCTGGCAGTGTTGGCGTGCCTTCTCCCAGGTGAGTTTGTGAGTACTCAGGTAGAAGCACTCGTCCAGGACCTGTGTGTAAGGGTGCGGGCAGTACGGACCTGGAAAAACTGCAGAAAGATGAAGTGAAATTCCGTAGTTCTTATTGCATAATACATAATTACACTAATCTCTCCGACCGCTACTCCCTCTTTCCTTCACTACAGATTTATACACTCTCGAAGTCATTCTGTTTCATTCCACCCTCTCTACATGTCCGAACCACCTCAACAACCCCTCCTCAGCCCTCTGGATAATAGTTTTGGTAATCCCGCACCTTCTCCTAATTTCCAAACTACGAATTCTCTGCATTATATTCACACCACACATTGCCCTCAGACACGACATCTCCACTGCCTTCAGCCTTCTCCTTGTTGTAACATTCACCATGTATACTTCACACCCATATAAGAGCATTGGTATAACTATACTCTCATGCATTCCCCTCTCCACAGACTCCTAAGTGCACCACCCACCTTTTCCCCCTAATCAATTCTATGATTCACCTCATCTTTCATAGACCCATCTGCTGACACGTCCACTTCTAATTATCTGAATACATTCACCTCCTTCATACTCTCCTCCTCCAATCTGGTATCATATCTTTCGTTACCTAATTTTTTTGTTACACTCATCACCTTACTCTTTCCTATATTCACTTTCAACTTTCTTCTTTTAACCCTACCAAACTCATCCACCAGCCTCTGCAGCTTCTCTTCAGAATCTCCCAAAAGCACAGTGTCATCAGGAAAGAGCAGCTGTGACAACTCCTACTTTGTGTTAGATTCTTTATCTTTTAACCCCACACCTCTTGCCAACACCCGATCATTCACTTCTCTTGGAACCCCATCTTTAAATATATTGAACAACCATGGCCACATCACACGTCCTTAAATTGCTTATCATATAAAAATAATTCCTAAAAAATCAGGTAGCTAGCAAACCTAGAGGCAAAGTCAGTTTGGAAACTCAAGGACATTAATGATGGCGTATTTTTCTTCCTCTCGGAGCTGAAATATGAATTTAATATTAGTGTAGATTATCGATTACCTTCATTACGTTGTGCTGCGTTGACCATCTCTTTTAAGAGTTCTGTTTGTTGGGACAACAACAACTGGTTCACGATCAGTGTAGAATGAAGTTCTTCCAAATTGACTCCCAAGTCACTACGATGAGCGGCCGCCGTTACGCACAGGAGTATAGGTAAGATGCATATGCAACAGTTAGACAACTTTATTCCGAAAGGTTTCGCCTACACAGTAGGCTTCTTCAGTCGAATACAGAAAGTAGGCAGGAACAGTAGAGATGTGAAGACGATGTAATCAGTCCGTCACCCTTGAAGTCGTAGAATTTGAGGTTGTCAGTCCCTCGGCCTGGAGAAGTTCAGTTCCGAGGGACTGACAACCTCAAATTCTACGACTTCAAGGGTGAGGACTGATTTACATGTTTCAATCTCTACTTTTCTCCCTACTTTTGTTTCGACTAAAAGGAACCCTATGTGTAGGCGAAACGTTTCGGAATAAAAGTTGTCAAAATGTTGATATGCGCTTCCCTAAAAACCCTGCGGTTTGTATACCATTTTGTTTTGTTCACGCACAGGAGGGTAGAAGGGGGACATGTGATGGTTTTTATGATTGCTCAGGTCTGAGGATATGCCGTGTAGACCCCTCTCATGTGTGGGAGACTGACATTTGAAGCTCTCAAGGTGTGAGGAAGAATAAGGTTGGGAGGGTTTTACTCGGATTATTATTTTGCTCATGGCTTTACAGGTGAGGTCGGCAGTTCCCGGGGTCACCTGTACAGTGAAGTGTGTATCACCTGATTTTCAAAAATTATTTGTATTGGAGGAAAAAGTGTTCGTTAGTACTACTACACTACTAGAAAATTACCACTAATTAATAATTTTGTTTAAAAAATATATAAAATTTAATGCTTGTAATAATATCACATAAACAGGCGTACCAAAATTTTTAAATGTTTTAGTCTGATTTTTTCCCAATTGATTTTCGGTTTTTCACCAGTCCATGTTAATTGTAATATGCATGTGTAAAATTTGAAGCTTTGATCACTTATTTTCTTTTTAAAATGTTGTTCATATTCTAAAAAATAAAATTAAAAATGTGGGGCCGCGTCTGCGTCCCCCGTTTATTTCTGTCAAGAACCTCCCATAAAAACTGAACCGCCATATTATTCGTATTAAGGGGGGAAAGCGCTAACCCGAGGGGTTTACAGCGTCTAAGGTACGTGAGACACTCAATTTTTAATAGGGGAGGAAAGGCCCAAATTTCCCTTTGGATCAAGAGCTCCCCAGCACCCAGGTAGCTCTCTCGAGGTTTGTTTTTGGGGTACTGGCTAAGCTCGTCCGTTATGTATTAACATAAAAGTAGTTTACCCAAAATCAAGCAAAATAGTTTTTTTTGTTTTATAAAAATAGCATTTTTGGAGATATTAACTACAAAAATAGGAATTTAACTACATAAAAAAATTTTAAAGGGGGAAGAGTTTTTGGGGAAAAATTATCCCCCAGAACGGGTGGGATTGACCCCTTGGAAAGGGTGAGTCCTAAAAGTCCATTTTACATAGGAAAGACACTGGGCCGCGGTTTACAAATATTCACCCAACTGGGGTACTTTCTTCCCAAAACATAGAAGTTAGCATGGTCTCTTGACCAAAAATGAAAGTTTTTCAAATGAATCTCCCACCACCCATGAGTGTCATATGTGGTTAAATGTTTCCCGGGTCCGTCGAGCTTCGTACAGCGACTGAAATTTAATTTGCAATTATATGATGACAGTTGGATGGTTTTAACACTTTTCTGAAATTGGCCTTATAATCCACTATTTTTTTTTATATTTTTTTTTAAAAAAAAACCAGTATACATGTATGGATACAAAATTTGATTTAAAACAAAAAACGTGAAAATTTTATATAAGACAACAACATATACATAGCTAAACAGAGGACTCCCGGAACATACCTTAAACCCAAAATAACTATATAACCAAAACTGAAGTTTTATTCTTATTGTATAGAAATTTTTATAAAAAAAACGATGTTATAAACTTGTTTTGCCACTCAATGGTACTATGGTTATATAAAAAAAAACTTCAAAAAACTAGTGACTTTTGAATTAAAAATATAGTGTTCTTTATTTTTGTTTTTGTATATATTAAAAATGGAATCAAAATATGCAAAACCCTTTAATAATTAACAAAAGGGCTTTTACAGATCAAAAATGTTGATTACATATGGGAAACACTAAGACCCCTAATACCCCGCCCAAACCCCATATTTAGCTTTTTAAACTAATTAAAAAAACCCAAAAAAAAATTTAAAACCTTGCTTGTATACAGTGATTTTAGTAAAGGTGCTTAATTAAACATCAACTTGTGCCCATAAATGAAAAAAAAAAAAATACATGTGAATCATGGGTGGGGGAACAACATACCCCGCAAAAAATGCTGCCCAAGGAACTTGAATGTAAAAAAGATTACATTATGGGACATTATACATTAAACCCCCCCCCCTCCGCGGTGAGCTACTACATATAAAAAAACAATCTTAGACAAATGAAAATTTTTGCCCTTCATTCAAAGTTTACAACATCACCAAAAAGGTTCTGCTTATGAAAATTCCCCCTTAAGGCCAGTATAACGTTGTACTTTCAGCGGGAATCAGCGTGGCATCCCCTTACAAAATGACCCAAACTAAAACCTAACGGGAATCCCCGGGGAAAAACCCAACATACTTCACCAAACCCCGCCATAGTCGGGAACCGGTTCAGCCTTGCAGAGGCTGGACTATACTGAAATATTTCTTTTTATCTGTTTATCAGATGCATGACCATTTTAGGATTAATCCAAGTTCAGTTCAACACAACGCCACAACCCTAACCCCAGACGCACGGGAAACCCTTCATAATGCATACAGTCACAACCAAAACCCCCCTCTCCCTGAAGTCCCGAACATCCGTTTGGTGCTTTTCCCCGGGGGGGGGGGGTCCAGCCCCCCCTTTCCCTACTCCACCGCCGTTGCAGCAACCTTTTAACAGTAAGGGGCTTGTAGTTTGCAGGAAAAAAATTACCCCCCAACTTCTACCTATATGAGTTTATTTTGCAAAAACGTTCTGTAGATACCCGCCGCAATTGCCAGATCCTAAAAATGATCCCCCGGTTTCCCGATACCCCACGAGATATAGAGGAAAATCAGCCACCCGTACATTTTTCTCTTCGTACCTCACTTGACTCCCCTAAGTCCAAAAATTAAGGCCCTTAAGGTTGAAATGCTTCCCCACTAAGAAAATCGAAAACTCGCCCCCCAAACCCGAAAAGAACTTTGTCCAAGGTATCACAAAGTAGACTGCATGAAAGCTGTTTCTTCTAGACCGCAAAAGTAAACAATCTGCCTCCCTTACCCAAAACCCCTCCCATTTAAGACCGATATTGATGCTAAAATTTCATGACAAATCTGTACCCAATTCACGAACCTTGGTGCCCCAAATTAAATTTTCAAAATCCGTCCCATATTTTCCCCCCCAATTTTACAGGGGGAAAAACAGCAAACCCTGTACAATTTCCCACGACAACATTGTGACCATTTGCCCCACCCCGGATCCCTTGCGCATTTTTCAACTTTACAACAAATGCGATGTCCTCACACTCATTAATTCCTGCCGCTCCCATTTACGATTTCGTCATTACCGACCCCCCCGGTGCCGTTCTCACCGCCCGCCCTGAGGAACTGTGCTTTACATAGAGGGCCTTCCCCCTGGCCCCAAAACCCAAGAGTCCTAAACCCCCAAGACGAACAGGGTCATGACAACCCCCAACTTAACCAAGCTCTCCCAAAAAACCCCCCCCAAAAATGTAAAACCTTTCTGCATTCCTGAATATCACATCTCTTAAAGGGTAACCTCAGCCACACTCAAAACCTTACTTTTAAACAAGGTATTACCACTACTGTCCCTTTTTGCAATGGACATCCCCAGCTCTTAACCCCCGAACCCTCAAAGGGAAAGGGTTCCCTTTTGTTGGTGGGGGCTCTTGATTTAGGGGGAAATTTGGGTCTGTGC